AAAAAAAAAAAAAAAGAGAAATCACACATTACTTACTCTGAAAAGGTAACTTTGTACCTGCTGAGTCTGCAACAACAAGTTCTTTGCTGCAGCAACCACTAACTCCTCATGTCTCACCAGCATGAGCAACCAAAGTGGTGATTCCAGCTATACCTTTAGAAACGATGTTCTTTTGGCAGATAGCCAAATGTACAAGATCCACCTTAATTAGTTCAAAGTACAACTAAAATACTCTGGAGAAACTCGTTTTGAACTTAACACCTAAAGAGCACTGTAAACTTGGATTAGATGGACCACTCTGACTGTGTTTAACACTTACAAACCAAGCTGCTGCTTAAGGAACTACACTACCAGTCATTCAATGCAGCAGTTACCTCAATATGACCAATAAGGCCACAAGAAACCATCTCTCCTTATATTTAAAAACCCCATAATACCCTTATACTACAGTCAAAAGTTTAGTGATAAGACTAGTCTCCACCTGGTAAGTTGGAGAAAGTTGGGATAGAAATTAATGCAAAGTCTGTGAATCAGTCCACCATAAAAACCCAAGAAGTTTAGTTACGGCTGAAAAGGAAGGTGTAGTCTTTTTTTTGACAACACTTATTTTAATGCAAGATTTCCCTTTACATCATTCTTCCTTGGCATCTTCACAAACAAAAGCTTTGGCACAAGATTTTCTCTAAAATAAAAAATTAATCAGAAAAGCAAGAAAACTTTTATAAGAATTTCCAAGCTAGTTACAGTGTATTTCTTTATCTGATAGCTTAGAAGTGTTCAGCTTGAATACACATAATGTGCTAATGCTCCCAGCTGTAATTTTGGCTTTTGTCATTTTGAGAAAAACTGTCATTTCCACTGAAAAATAGAAATATTTAAACAGCGAACAAAAGGTGTGTTTTCCAGAAGTATCCTACCAAGATACACGTTCTTTATAATGAGTAAATGAGTGTGTAAGCACGTAGCTCTTCAGAGACCAAAGATCCCAAAGAGCAGCCACAGCAGTGCCATTTAAGACCTCCACCTTGGCAACAGTCTGTACACATACCTCTTCATACTTCACCCACTGGTCTTTTGGAAGGATCTGGTGTTTCAGGCTTAAGTCGAGTGCTCGCTTTATGCGAAATATTCTTTCATTGTAGAGATGTTCTGGAAGCCTCTTCAGTGCTTCTTTTACATCATCGTCTTCATACAGTGTATCATCTCGCATTAATCCTGTACAAAGAAGATTT